CCTCATGCTACAGATTCAATCAAGTCTTTGCTTTTTGACATTTCATTGCTGCAGTACCGCACTTTCACAATTCCTTGACTTGTTCGTGCTATATGTAGTGTCATTTCACCATTCAAGATCGAGTTTCGCTTGGGTTCTTACGCTGCAGTTGTTAGTTTTGTTTAGAAGATCTTAGGAGATCTTCATAACACAGCGGCAGTAACACTCCTCGCCAGATATTTGATTTGATTTGATATTTACCGGAAGTATATTCACTACAGGTCTGGTGACTAAGTGGGGTTTATTGCAGGAATTTCGTCATTAATGCATAGTTGACGTTTTGTGTACTAATTTTCCGACAAGGACAGGGAGTTAGAGAAAATGTTACTTCAGTATGGCTGCGTTCATACATTGCGGCAGCATCCACCAGCGTCCTACGCCCATCAGCGTTTCGAGCGTCCGTCAGCGCCAGCGACTAGGAAAGTGTAGATATCGATCTAGCGAACGGCAGCGTCTACCAGCATCCACCAACTCTCGAGGGATTAGGGAACTGTAGGTGTCAATCTAGCGAAAACAAGCGTCCAGGAGCACCGTATTGTGCGGCTGCACACGCCACAGTTTCACGACGCCTGATGCAGCTGTCACTTCCCTCTTAGTTCCTCATACTGTCTACTCCTGGTCGCTGGTGACGGTAGACGCTGGTGTTTGCTAGGTATCCATACATTCGTAGTCCTTCGAGCTGAGTGGATGGCGGACTCTGATAGACGCTGCCGTTCGCTAGATCGATATCTATATCTCGACTGCTGATGGTCGCTAGTCTACGCTGACGTCGCTGGCGGACCCTCTGAACGTTAATGGTCGCTCGTGATCGCTGGTGGATGCAGCCGTAAGGTATGAACGCAATCTAACACTTTTTATTGCTCAGTGAAGGTAACTGCAGTTCTACGCACGTGGTGGCAATCGAGCCAGGATGAAAATCGTCCAACAATCCGGAAACCCAGTAATCCAGGTTCTGTGACTCGCAGATCTTCGTCTATGCTCTTCTCTAGCCTCCATGTTCTGTATGACAGATATGGGTTGGATTCTAATTGAACCTACCTAGTAAGCAGCGGCACTAAGTCATCAGGAACTAGCACTTTCGCGATTTTCTGGGCGCCTTCATCTTAGACTCAGACTATATTAGATCTTTTTCAAGGTTATTAAATGTCGTGCGTCGTACCCAGGATTCCTGGCTGAGATGAAAAGAGAGGAGTGCAGGAATAAGTTTATACGTACGGTGAGCTTTTGAGATTGTTCTGTATGGTTTGAAGCCTGTTCCATGGACCTTCTATTTTGGCAGTATGCTTTTCAGTTGGAGGCTCCTCTGAAATCAGCTCGACCGCTGGGAATCGATGTAGAGAAAATTAAAAGCGACGTAACACGGAGAGTAGAGGAATCTCAAGATTTAACAGAGATGAAGAGAACTTTGGAGGAACGAGCAATGCAGGTATCACTTTCTGACTATCTTCGACTTTCTTTCTTTCAAGGTCTATGATGTCGAAATCACTCCGCCGTATTCTTCCCCAGTTTGAAATAATCTGAAAATATTTTTGATAAAAATTTAGAGCCCGCCCGAGGTCTAAAATGGTGAATTCTGTGGCTTAAATACTAGTGAAAAGATGCTAAGCAGCACAAAAGTGGAGGAAAAAACAGACGAAACCCACCCGAATCGCCTCACATGGAGTCGCGCTAATAGGGCATAAGACGATGCAAGGGCGTGGTGGCCGATCTCTCCTTGCTGTGTCAGTTTTTCTCCTGAAAGCAATGGTACTGTCACTCATAGTTCGGGTGTGCGTGACTGTCAGCCTCCCAGCTGTCGAAGTATCGGTTTCTTCGTCCTGACATGCGCACATGCGCAGGAATAAACAGGAAGGACCGTGAACGCTAATTCCTCCATGCTCCGCCCAATGTCCTACGGCGCAGACTCCCGTTTCATGCTAACAGCCGTTCCGCGCGGCGCTCTTGGCACTTTGCCAAGTCCTGTAATTGCGCTTTGGAATACAAGTAAAACGCAATTTCCTGATGCGGATAACATTTAGGTGCTGCAAAATAAGAACCGAAGATGATGACGAGGGCCAGAACTCAAGAGCAACTGTGCTGCTTCTGCAATATCCCTCGGAGGCCGCGCATTCCCACAAAACATGAAAATAAAAACGGCCTAAGCGTCCCACTTGTTAAAGTATTTTTATGGCTTTGGAGCCGGAATCGCGCCAATTGCAGAAATTTACACGCGATTTCTAATTAATTTGCATTTCCTTAATTTTTTCATTTTTGTTTTATTTACATCTACATTCGTTGTTCTTCATTTCTAGCCTTTGTCATCTTCATCACCTTCTATTCGGACTTTGCAGCATGAGCAACACCTCAAATGTTATCCGCATCAGGAAATTGCGTTTTACTTGTATTCCAAAGCGCAATTACAGGACTTGGCAAAGCCAAGAGAGCTGCGCGCGACACGCGCCGCGCGGAACGGCTAGCATAAACGGGAGTCTGCGCCGTGGGCGTAGCATGGAGGAAATTAGCGTGTTTCACGGTCCTGTATCTCCATTCCTGCGCATGTTAGGACGGGGAAACCGCTACGCTTCGACAGCTGGGGGGGGGGGGGCTGATAGTCACGCACACCCAATTAGGAGTGATCGTAACATGTATCTTTAACACCTCACTCTCCGTCCGAAATGGAGAGAGTTGGTAGCTCAATAACCCCACATGAGGTAGCAGCTAAAAATGAAAGTTCGAGGGGCCAATGCCGGGGCTGTGTTTTCGTCGCGAGCGGTCCTTTTCCTTACGTATTTTTGAAGCTAGTACATCCTTCTGCGCGTGGGCAGGGCTTCCATGTCTAAAGGAGGCGTCTGGACATCAGTTGAATGCGGAGCGTGTCTTGAATCAGAGTAATCATGTTCATCGACTGTGGCGACATATGCTATTCATTTTAACAAAGAATTGGCCCATCGCATTAGCTGCATCTTTCAAAATCCCTGAGATGCGGTGGGCGTGGCTGCCTACTCGAATTGAA